TATCTCATCACTGAGTCACCATTTCTCCCTTGCCAACTCTAGCCCTCTAAGCTTCTCTAAAACAACTAAGAGCCTTCAGGAACAGTTGCAGGAATTACACATGCAGTTCAGCTTTTGGTTCTTTACTAGTGAACAACAGTAACTATATTTAAGTTAATATTTGGTCTCCCATGTGCGGCTGATGCTGGAGTGGTGTGGGCAATGGGGCTGGAGAGGCCAATGGAAGCTAGATGATGGCATCATGTGACAGTCTTAAGAAGTTGAGGTTCAAAAACTATCCTAAGGGGATTTAGGCAGTAAAATAACATGGTCAGATTTCCATTTTAGATAAATGGATCTACAGCAGTGTGGAAGGTGGGTTAGATCTGGAGAAGTGAGAAATAACAATGGTAGAACTAGAACAATGGTATCTGGCAGAAATCCATCGAGGAGCTTTTTGAACATTCGGATGTCTCATAAGCAACTTAAACTCAATCTGTGAATCACCGGGCTCGGTGGCTCAGCCTGTAATCCCGCGCCTTTGGGAGTCTGAGGTGAATGGACTGCCTGAACCCGCGGGTTCACGACCCACCTGGGCAACTTGGCGAGACCTCATCTCTACAATAAATTAAAAAATTAGCCAGGTGTGGTAGCGTGCACCTGTAGTTCCAGCTACTCGGAAGGCTAAGGCGGAAGGATTGCCGGAGCCCAGCGGGTCGAGGCTGCAGTGGCCGTAAGCGGCCACTGCACTCCAGTCCGGGCGACAGAGTGAGACTGCAACTCAACAAAACAAAACAAAACAAAACAAAAAACAGAACTCATTCCCCCCTAAACTGACCGCCCCCCGCCACACTTCTGTCTCAGGAAATAGTTGCATTATTCACCAAGGGGTTCAAGTCAGAAACTTTAGAGCCACCCTCAATTTATTTTCCTCATCTTCTAAATCCAAGTAAATACTATATCCTGTGGTTTCTAACTCCTTGATATTTTCCAAATCCATTCAGTTTTTTCCACCCTCGCACCACCACCCTCCATCCTAGCTCATCATTATTTTTGGCATATGCTAGAATTACAAACCAGCCATAGCAGGTCATCGGCTAGTAACTGATGTCACACGTCCACCCTTGACCTTGGAAACCCAGTCTCATATTGCTCCTATAGGGATCCTTTTAACATACTTCCAATTATGTCACCATCTTGCTCAAAGCCCCTCAATCGCTTCCATCATTTCTAGATTAAAGTCCACAACCCTAACATGGCCCACAAGCCTCTCTGGGACCTGGCTCCTGCCTAATAAAGTAAGCATACCTAACATTAACTGAGCATTTCTTTTTTTTTTTTTGAGTCTGGGTCTCACTCTGTTGCCAGTGGCTGGCTGGAGTGCAGTGGCACGCTCATGGCCACTGCAGCCACGACCTGCTGGGCTCAGGTGATCCTTCTGCCTCAGTCTTCCAAGTAGCTGGAACCACAGGCATGTGTCACCATGCCTGGCCAATTTTTTTATTTATTGTAGAGATGAGGTCTTGCCATATTGTCCTGGCTGGTCTCAAACCCCAGACTCAGGCAATTCTCTCACCTACACCTCCCAAAGTGCTGGGATTATAGGCGTGAGCCACCACACTCAGCTTACTGAGCATTTCTTATATGCTAGGCACTGTGCTATGCTTTGCAAGCATTATTTCATTTTACTCTCTCAGCAACATTGTGAAGCAGGAACTCTAAGCATCAGCCTCATTTTGTAGGTGAGGAAACTGAATCAAAGAGAGATTATGTAACTTATCCAAAGTTGTAGAGTAAATAAGTACAACCATGCACCTCATAGCATCATTTTGGTCAATGACGGACTGTATATATGACAGTGGCCCCATAAGATTATACAGTTGACACTTGAACAATGATGTGTTGGGAGCGCCAGACCTCTGCATGGTCAAAAATCTGTATAACTTTTGACTGTTCCAAAACTTTACTAATAGCCTACTCTTGACTGGAAACCTTACAAATAACAAAACCAACACATACTTTTATGATCTACATTCTATATACTATACTCTTACGATAAAGTAAGCTAAAGAAAAGAAAATGCTATTAAGAAAATTAAAAGGGAGAGACAATATGTTTACTATTCATTAAGTGAAAATAGATGTTCATAAAGGTCTTCATCCTTATCATCTCACACTGAGTAGGCAAGGGTGAGGAGGAGAGGTTGGTCTTGCTGGCTCAGGGAGAGGTGGAGTAGATGGGAAACAGGAGAGGCAGGGACACTTGGTGTGACTTTTATTGAAAAAAATCCACATATTTTGTGTTCAAAGTCATGTTCTTCAAGGGTCAGCCGTAATTCCATAATATTCTTGTACCTTTTTGTTTAGATATGTTTAGAGACACACATACTTCCTATTGTGTTACAGCTGCCTACAGTATTCGGTACAGGATCACGCTTCACAGGTCTGTAGCCTAGGAGTGACAGGCTCTACCACCTAGCCTGGGTGTGCAGTGGGCTACCATCTAGGTCTGTGGAAGTACACTCTCTGATGTTTGCACAAAGATTAAATTACTTCTAAGTGCTAAGCAATGTGTGTCTGCAGGGAAGCCAGGTCTGCCAGACTCCAAAACATGTGCTCTTAAGCTCTTCACCTGTTCACACTCCCCTCAAGCTGCTCCAACCATACTGTGTCTTTTTCAGTTCCTAGAACTCATCTGCTCTCTCTTGCCATGAGGCCTTCACACATTCTGTTCCCTATGCCTGGAATGTCCCCTCACAAATCTCACCTTTGCATGGATAATATTTATTCATTTATCAAGTCACTGCTTAAGTGTCATTGTCTCAGAGAAGCTTTCCCTTACTGTCTGAAATTAAATTTTTTATTTGTTTGCTTCTTTATGGTCTGTCTCCCTTCAGTATCATGTTAAAATTGTTACCACTGGTCTGCAGTTCTTATTCACCAGGGGTTCAATAAACATTTGCTGCATAAATGCATGCATGAATGAATGATGCTGGGTGGAAGCACCCTAAACTGGAAACTTCATCTGTTCAGACTACTGATGAGAAACAGAAAGAGAGCAAGGATAAATTTGTTCCTCTACTGGATATTTATTTAGTAGCTTTCAGTCCCAGCCAATACTCTTGAGAACTTACAGACCTCCTGGGGGAGACAGACACATAAAAATATGATTGGAGCACAATATAAGTGTTTTTTATAATTGTGGCAAGAATAAGGTATAATAGACACAGAGATGAAAAAGAAAGTCTAAGTCTATGGGAAACCTTCCTAGCAGAGGAAATTCTTGAATCCTTTTGCAGAATGAATGAGTCTTGAAATATGCATCACACAATCTATGCGTTACACTTACAACAGGGGAGACGAGCATCCTCTGTATACCAGAGTACTTTACAGCTCATCTGAGTCTCACAATAACTCTATGCAGTTAGTCCCATTTTATAGAAGTGGAAATTCAAGCTAAGAAAGGTCAAGTGGCTTGCCCAAGGTCATGGGCAAGTACATTAATAAAGGACTAGAATTTGAGCCAAGGTCTGACTGCATTAACCATTTGTTTATCATTATATTAAAATCCTTTGACACTGTATTCCTCGGAGCCTACTTATTTTTATTTTCAGATAACTTAACAAAATTTGTTATGTGATTTTTCATTCTAATATAAATAAGCAACAAAAAGGTTAGAGCGAGAACAAAGTATACTGACAGTAAGGACAGAAAAACTATAAAAATTGGACACAAACTTTCAAAAAAATATGGGCCATACAGTCAGTCCTATCCACTCCACCCTCTGCTGCATAACAGTACTTGATGTGCATAATGATGACCCCATTATGAAAAAAAAAAAGACTGTTATAGTCATTACAGCCTAAGAGAGAGAGAACTAACTTTTTATGCTTAAAAGAATAAACTTCAGTTACCTAGTAAGTTAATTCCTCTCTGGTAAGTCTGAATTGTAACAACTGTTTCCAAAGTGTTAGTGAGAAGAACTATCCCAAGATCTTAGAGTCCTCCTTCTATGGATATTATCTTTCTGTTCCTTTAAACTAAATTCAAGCCAGCATATAAATACTGCCAATCTTAGCTTACATATGTACCCAAGTAAACTATACGCTTTAAAAACTTCTCATACATGACTTTGAACAACACACGTGGACTGAGTAATTACAGAGTGACCAGCATACATAAAGTGTAACTGAACATTCTCCATATCTACAAACAATATTTCTCTTTTAAAAGGCCTCCTAATAAACCTTGTAATAAAACAGGACAAATTGATTATGCAGGAAATGGAGGGAAAATTATAATATTTTTAATCTGCTGCACTCACAACTCACAAGTCTGTATGTGAAAAACAAGAGACAATTTAGGCAAACACAGAGAAAACTGGCTGGGTAATTTACCACAAAAGTGTTTCTACCTGGGTCCAACTTTTCAACATGAAGACATTAGATTCTTTTAACATAGGCTTTTATTATTTTATATAATTCTTTTCTTGAAAACAGAAAGGTTGCATTTAGAGAACACACCCTGTTTTTTGTTTTTCTGTTTTTAAAAACAAGAGAAAATTGCCCCATTGATTATCTTGAATAAGCTGAATAGGACATATTTAATATCTGTTATCATTTTAGAGGCTTTGAAATGTGAACCTTTCCACACAGAACACTGTGACAATGCGAAAAACACACTGGCTACATCTCCCAACCGCATGTAAAACGAAATTTAAGGAAAAGCAAGTCTTTTCTTGCAATTAATTGTAACTTTCATATATTTTCCAAGGAGCAATGCAGCTTCTGCCTACCATCTTCTAGAAGAACAATACTTGTTTACTTACATTTGAACATCGTTTTTACTTTAGTTCACCCTGTCCGATTTTGGCCCCAAATTCAATGTTTTACAGAACACTCTACCTTAAAGAGGCAGAATGAATTCATAGTAAAAGTTCACAGAATGACAACCCAATAGAAGCAAATACAACGCGAATGTCACGGTACTAGAGCCAGTTGCACTTCCAATGCTCGTCCTTACCTGTATGCTCTTCAGAATAAACTCACTTTTCTCTCTTACATCTTTAAAGGGACACCTCTTAGAAAGCATAAGCAGATGAACGAGCAGCTTATTCAACTCATCCAAAGAAGCAGTGTTCGAAAGCCCGTCGGATGGACAACTGGGTGTCTCTTTCACCGAACGAAGACCCTCGGCTTTCCTCAAAACGACCTGCCTGATGTTCTCCAGCGCCGTCTCTCTCGTGGCTGAATCTCTACTGCACAGTCCATCCCACCTCACTTCGTTCTCTCCTTCGGCCATGACAATGGGAGTTTTTCCTTGGCAGTCACCTTTCCGCATGCCCCCAAGCCACCTTGCGTTATTAAAACGAGAAAGGCAAGAATAAAATCAGAGAGATCGAGGCGTCTGAGGGGGCATTTGGAAGCAGAAGCGCCTTTGCCTTGGATGCGCTCGACCGATCTATCCCGTGGATCACCCTCGCAGCCTCTCCCTCTCCAGGAGAGGGCCGTCTTCTTTCGGGTCGGAGGCTGAGAAAAAAACAAAGTTGGCAAGTGGCAGCCTCGCAGCGCCCGCCGCGCTGGACAGGGCGTCTCGCGGGGTCAGCGGAGGT